TTGTCTAAATGACGCAAAAATGAAAACACTGACCTCTCATTCTATTTCAGTGTTATTTTCATTTTGGCGCAATTTAGACGACAATTTATCCATCGCACCCTGCACCTGTCTATATTTCATTTATGTGGCATTGTAACTATTTACACTGTTCGGACTGTTGCCTTCATCTCTATTGTCATATTCACGAAGTTTCGGCCGTTGTACGCTCCGCCCTTCTTCGGGTGATATACGGCCAAAACGTCGCGAATATGACAATAAAGATGTAAATAGAATATATATATATATATATATATATATATATATATATATATATATATATAGTGATGAACACCATCACTTGATAAGACACCAGTAGTGTTGAAACAAAATGACTCTTTTTTAGTAGTGATTTTATAACATATATATGTTATAATTTTCGAATAAATAATATATATATATATATATATATATATATATATATATATATATATATATGTGTGTGTGTTTGTGTGTGTGTGTGTGTTGGGTGATGAAGTAGAGAATTTCACAACGAGGTCAGTTTCTTCCAAGTAAAAGAAATAATTTTGGACATTTTCATCTTTTGAAAGACAACTTTGGTTTTATCTAAAACTCAGTAAATCTTACTAAATATTTAATTAGGTTGTAACAAATACTCGTGTCGTTTCTAAGTGAACTTCGAAGAAATACATTTATTGATACGTGCAACCATATGGATGACCTTTTGTTCAACGATTCATAAAGCAACTTCCTAATTCCATCCTCCCAGTATTTGAAATCTTTCTATGTCATAATCTTGTCTAAGTGGTCTTTATAGGCTTCCAGTGAATAGAGTCTCTTCTCATTATGGGAGTTCTGTAGGGACCAAAATAAACAGTAATCCGAAGATGCAAGGTCGTGTGATTACGCCGAGTGTACATACCGGTAAAGCTGTTCTTATCTGCCGAGGTCTGCTACGAGACATGAGGTCTGGTGTCATCCTGAGGGAAAACGACGCTTTTCTGATTGGATAATTCCAGACGTTTTGCATCGTTTTCGGCTTTTAATCGGTCCAGTTGAGAACAGAAAAAATCTCTGGATTAATGCGCATTCGATTAATGCGTTTTCGATTAGTGTGCTGCAATTTTTATACCAAAATTTGATTAGTGCATACATAATACTTGATTATTATGGCAAAAACATTCTTCACTTTAACCATCGTAATTGAAAATTGATTTTCTTTTATTGTTACCGATTAATTAAATTTTTTCTCAAATTTAAAAATGGAAAATGAGTAACTATTTTGTTTGTCAAGTATTACGTTTGTGTAAGTAATAATACTAGTGTTAAAAAAATGAGCAGTTATAAATAGATAAATTTTATAATATAAGCCGATAATAAAAATAATTTTTTTTTTTTTTTTTTTTTAAGCATTGTGCCCCAAGCAAGGCGTGAAGCCACTAGGATGCAGGGGGTTTGGAGCGAGAGCAGATAAGAGTGATAGGAGAAAGGAAGAGGAGAAGGATAGTGGGTAGATCAAGGTAACTGGAGATGTCGATTGACATTACATTTGAATAGTTGGAGATTATAGCTTTCAGGTAAACAGTAATTGGGAAGGGTGTTCCACAGGCGAGAGGTGCGAGGTATGAAGCTATTGGAGTAGAAGAGACGGCTACATTTGAAGGTTTCTACGGTGTAAGGGTGAGAGCGGGATGCCAGCCTCGTAGGGCGCTTGAATTCATGGAGTCTGGTAACCAGAGAGCAGCTCATCAGAGCAGTTACCATGGAAGTATTTGTAGAAAAAGACAGAGAGAGGCTACGGCGTCTGTGAGAGAGTGACTGCAAGCAAGACGCTAGATCAGGGCCAATTAGATTACATATCCTTCTCTGGATCTTGTCGAGAACTCCGAGGTAAGCAGAAGGTGCTCCAGCCCATATATGGCAGCAATACTCCATGCAAGGGCGAATGGTTGTTTTATATATTTGAAGTATCGAGTCAGGGGAGAAAAATTTCCTGGCTCGGCACAGAGAGCCAACTTTCCTCGCGGTGGAAGAAGCAATTGACTCAATGTATTTGTTCCATCTCAGGTCAGCAGTCAGCGTGAGACCGAGCAGACGCAGGGAGTTACTCTCAGGAAGTTGACTATCAGACATTTTAATGGGGGGCAGGGAAGAATGTTTGAATATTTTCGCTATTATAATTTTTTGATATATTCCGTGCTAAGGGAAAAAATACATAACACCGCGTGGATACTAGAAGAAAGGTTTATTGTACACGACAAGTACAATATGAAATACGGTTCAGCTGTACACCCAGGTCAATCTAGTAGTGAGTGCCACTAATTGGAAGTCTTAACTCTCACACTCTTCTTCCCTGAGCCTCTCGTAGACAGTTGGCTTTATAGGTACTTGCTACCTATAGTGTAATCATTCATGGGGGTGACTGGTTATTCCATTACAACATTTTTCATATTTATTTTGAAGATCTTAAAAGATGAGTATGTACTAAGGAAATTAAAATACAGGAATCCCTCGATTAATGCGTTTTCGATTATCTAAAACACCAAAATTCCATAATACTCAATTAGGGGTGTGGGGTAATGGTTAGCAAGCTTGTTTCTCTAAATCAGTTACGACTGAATAGGGAGTTCGATCCTCACTTGGCATCCCATAATTTCGGCCTTGTGCCACATTTAAGCTACCCTTGGTAAATCAACCTATATTCTTGATTAGTGCGATAAAACATTCTTCAGTTTAACCGTACTAATTGAGAATAGATTTTTTTTATAGTTACCAATTAATTAAAAATTTACTAAAAATTTAAAGATGGAAAATGAGTAACTATTTAAGTAATAGATGAAAATGAGTAACTATTTAAGTAATTACAACAGTGTTAAAAAAACTGGACAATTACAAATAGATAAATTTTATAATATAAACCGATAATAAAAATATATATTTGAATATTTGTCTCTATTATAATTTTTTTCATATTTTAATTTTTTTTCATATTTATTTTGAAGGTCTTTAAAAAAAATTTCTGATTTTTTTGTTAAAAAAATGAACGATTTAATTACAAACAGAAATTTACATTTATTAAATTTTCATGTTAAAATACTAATATTTATGATATGTTTGGAAAATATGAAGTGGCAATTTCTGAGTACCGCCATTTATATGAAGAACACCAATGATTCAGAAAAATACAATCACCTATGGCACCTTCTCTGTAAATGGCACATATCTTTTTTGCTGTTTGCACAGTATTTTACTTCCCTGAAATAAGAAAATCAAATGAAGAAAATGCATCTCCTTTTCCTCAATTTGTACTTTTAAAGGAAAAAAAAACATTTCAAATTCATAATCCACGCGTGAATCGTATAGAAAGATACACTGAAATGTCACTTTTCCGTGACAACCGAAGACGTATTGGTATGACCAAAGATGAATTCGAAAAGCTAAGCAAAGTATTAAGGGACAGAAAAATTTTGTTGGAAAAAAGAAAACTGTACTGAACTTTTACGTAATATCTTGTCCACTTGTATGGCAGCGAACGCTGGACAATTTCCTCAAAGATGAAGAAAAGACTCGAAGCAACCGAAATGCGGTTCTTCAGAAAGATGATGAGGATACCATGGGCCGAACATGTGAGCAACAACAAGATTTTGGAGAGAATGGAAACAAAGAGGAAACTTATACTTAACATCAGGAAGAGATAGTTGAAGTTTCTTGGTCACATAATGAGAAAGGAGGGCTTAGAAAATCTAATACTCCCGGGACAGATTTTAGGAAATAGAGGAAACCAGCGCGTAACATACTTGATGGACTTCAGAAAATGGATGGCGGAACAGGGTTTGGGAGAAAAATACAAAAGGATAAAAGTTATTAAGTGCTACAAGGGAATGGAAGATGTGAAGGGCCATGATCGCCTACGTTCTGGAGGAACAAAAAATGTATATCATAAATATTAGTCAACTGTGAAACGAAATCCCATATCCAAGCGTCACCTATTGGAAAAAAACACGACTTACTTTTGTTCCAACCCAGTACAAATATGTTGATGTATCAATTGAGTAAATATCGCTATATTTATCTGATAAATATTCACAATCTGTTTTTTTTTATTCTTTAGATGCTTGTGTGCACTTGTATGTGATTTCTTTTGATTTCTGCGTGAATTGGTTTCGATATTGCCAGAAGACTAGATTAATCTTGCCGCTGAAATTTATCAGCGAAATTAAGGTATAAATATGCCTGTCTTTATGCATGGGTGTCCTTGTGTGAATGCTTGAGAGTGTGTATATCGCAGACGTTAGTGTTTCCAATTGAAATAGACAGGATACAAATAATGTAAGGGTGAATATAGTCGAGGCTTACTCCTGCCATTTTGTTTTTTAATCGCTATATTTTGAGGGCTTATTTTATACTTTTTTTTTTTTTTTTTTTTTTGGCATTCCACTCGATGTGATTGGAACCATCTGGTAAACTCTAGAGGCTTCCCACTATTACCCACTGTAAGTTTCTCACAGTTAATCACGTTCGTGTTTTTCAACTGAAGAAGACAAGTAAAAAAAAATAAATAAAAAAAAAAGAATTAATAGGTAAAAATTAATTTTAAAAAAATATTGTATGTAAAAAGAGAGAAATAGAAAAAATATAAAAATCAAAGAAAAATTACGGTCAGTAAGAAAGTTAAAGAAAAAAGGCTAGAATTGTATTTGAATAAAAGAGGGGACGATTAGAAAAAGAATTCAGCAAGAAATACGAATAGATGGAAGTAGAATAGATAGTAGAAAGAGTACAGTAAAAAGAGATTTTATAAAAAGACAGAAAAATACGAGTGTTCAAAAAAAAAAAAAGAAAAAGGAAAAAAAATCATACGAAAAGAAGACGAATAAAAACAAAAAAAATGTTAGCAGGTAAAAATGAATTTTAAAAAATAACGGAAACAGAAAAATTTAAAAAAAAAATGAAAGAGAAGACACAGAAAGTAAGAAGGTTAAAGACGACAACGAAAAACGGTATTAAGAAAGAAAGCAATGCAGAAAAAAAAAACCTTCAGCGAGAAACATGAATACGAGGAAGAAGAAAAAATAGCAGAAGGTAAATAGTAAATACTGAAAGAGACGAAGAAAAAAATCGAGAGAGAGAGAGAGATGAACGAAAGAATGAAGGAATAAAAGAAAAACTGTTGAAAAGAAAGAAAGATGCCACATGAAAAGAAGAAAAAAAAAGAAAAAAACTACCAAACAAATAAAAAGAAAGTAAAAAAGGCGGAAGCAACAGCAACTAAAAAGGTGTTCTGTGTCAACTAAAAAGCAACGCCTTGACTTGACAAGTAAATATGAAACCCATATAGATCAGGAAGCACGTACACAGGCGAGATCCCTACGCATGTGATGTGTATAAAGCTTATACACGGACAGCCACAGAAAATACATGTCAACGTTTACACGAGCAGATAACTTTAAATGACGATTAAAACAAGGAAATAAATAAACACACACACACATTCATCCCCTCATACATAAACAGACAGAAAAATGTATAGCGGGTTACTGACGGGTTTATCTAGCATTGCCCAGACAAGGTTCCGTGATGAGCATGAACTTTTGTTGACTTTTTAATATTTTTTTCTCGCGAACTATTGAATGTTTGAGAAAATATACAAATGGAAATCAGAAAATATTCAGGAAAATGTGCTTTTAAGGCACCCGATTGTTAAGTAAGGTCCCCAATACCACATAACAAGTTTTAGACAAGACAGAATAATGAAACTGGTATCAAAAGGAAGGGAATTATTTCTCTTCAAATTACGAGAGCTGATTGATAAGTAAGCTCTCCAATCCTGTAAAACAACTTTTAGACCAGATAGATTAATGAAACTGTTATCAAAATGAAGTCAATTTATTTCCCTTCAAAATTACGTGGATTTATTGTTATGTCTCAAATTCTATGAAACAATTTTTAGACCAGATTGAATAATGAAACTGGTATCAAAATGAAGGGAATTATTTCTCTTCAAATTACGAGAGCCGATTGATAAGTAAGCTCTCCAATGCCGTAAAACAACTTTTAGACCAGATAGATTAATGAAACTGTTATCAAAATGAAGGAAATTTATTTTTCTTCAAAATTACGAGGGTTGATTGATAAGTAAGGTCTCCAATCCTATAAAACAAGTTTTAGACCAGATTGAATAATAAAACTGGTATCAAAATGAATGGAATTTATTTCTCTTCAAAATGAGCTACACTCTTTACTTCTATCAATTCTGACTTTTGTAGCTAGAACTCGCCATGTTTCAAGTCGAATCGCCCATATTCCTCCGTATTCCAATTGTAACGAGGAAGTTCCTTTTACACAGTCACGTGGATGCTTCTCTGACAATTGCAAGTCAAGGTCCATTTGTTATATATCCTCAATAATCTTCATTTTCTTCTACCTCGACTGACATTCATGACACACGTCATTCAGTAAACCTCTACTGTGAATGTGGGTACGCAGTTGGTGTAATGAAAAGCGATTCGAACTGAAGAATCTGAGAGCCGAGTTCGCATTTCAGCTGGGTGTTGCGTTGCAGCTCAGGCCAGACACCAGATTCGTTGACAGGGTGCACCTTCTCCCAGTCAAACACTAACAAATTACGCTTCAACCAAATCTTTAAACACTAGTGAAAAATAAAACAATTTCTCGTAGTAAAGCAAATAGAGCGAAATAGAGTTGTGGCGTGATTGAAGAGATAGGGGCACAATCTAGCGGTTGTCTTCCCTGTACGTTCTCCGATGCCCGCTTCGTCTCTCTGTGTGCCTTTTCGCGGGATGATCAGTTTAATTTCTTTTTCTTTTTTTTTCTCATGTTCGTCTAAAAAAAAACGTAATTTACCCTCCTTCCGTGACTTTCTCTCTGTCTGAGCCTCTTGCTCTGTACTTTGAACTTGACTTCGCTTGTTGATAACCACTGGTCGAAAGTAAATGTTCTGTATCCATTTTTGCGACATTTCCGGCTGTTTTCAATTTAACTAGACCTCATTTGACTCATATTTCTATATGGGGTTTGGTGTATTCACTTTAGCATCAATATCCCGGGGAAATGTATGAATCCCTCTTCAGCTAATAGGTTATTTGTCAGGAAAAAACATTTTTATTCTAAACAAAATAGCTTAATGCAATTTTCATTCGCAAAAAAATATTGCCATTTAAAATATGTTTTGACTTTAAGTACACACAATGGGTTGACAAACATTAAAAAAATAACCAATGCAACACTCTACCTTAGGTAAATTTGAAAATTTTATCCGGTAAACTTTAATCTAAAAAAAAAAAAGATATATGCTCAAGCATGTTTCGCTGTTATATACTACGATATTAAGATAGTACAATCGATTTAAAAGAATTCCTGATTTCCAAAATAATTATATATATATATATATACATTTACTATATATATATATATATATATATATATATATATATAAAATCTATTTGCATTGATAAGTCCAGCGAAAAACTACTTTCCCATGAACAAAAGGATCATCTGTATGAGGTAGATTGTTTGGATCTCATTAATTGTAATTAACTTATGTGATCTATAATAAAATTTATATTGAGTTCTCAATTGTGGATCAGTATTAATATTTTATATTAATGGTATCTACTTTGATTACTTACACACGGATTTTTTTACACACACACACACACATATATATATATATATATATATATATATATATATAATCGGTTTAAAAGAATACAAAAATTACAAAAATACTACACACACACACACACACACACATATATATATATATATATATATATATATATATATATGGATATATCAATTTGATTATAATCCAACAGTCCCTCTCCCTCTCTTTATATATATATATATATATATATATATATATATATATATATATATGCCAGTCTGTTTTTTTCTTTCTTTCTTTCTATCTCAAATTTTTCATAATCGGACAGTCTATTTCTACCTATCTATCTATCACAATTTTTTCATAATGATTTAAAAGGATTCCTGTATTAGAAATATATATATATATATATATATATATATATATATATATATATATATATATATATAGGCGTTCACGCGTCTAAATATAATTTACATTGATACATCCAGACTTGTCTTAAAATAAATATAACTTTTATTTTTTTCCCGCAATTTCTTTAAGCGTTTGGACACAATCCAAGTGAGGGTCTATGAATGATTTATCGTCTGTCTGGCCCGTCATTTTGGTTCGGGAGAACGAAATACCTGAAAATTACCCTCTTGTCACTGCCACAATTCTTGCTATGCCGACAGTTTTGATGTCAATGTGAGAAAAATGGCACCGCGATATAAAGGACTTTCCCTTTAGAATGATTCAGTGCTTGCTATGAAACGACAAGAACCGTTATTTAAGATACGTGGAAAAAACGACTTACATATACACAAAATCCCTTCAACTTACCTACCAATTAAAAATACGTGAAAGCACACATCTATAGATGTATACATTCAAGTAGATAATGGTTGATAAGCCGTAGAAAACAATTAATCAATTATTCAAGTAGATAAATAATCATAAAACACACACACACATATATATATATATATATATATATATATATATATATATATATATATATATATCCACAGACAGACTGTTTCGCAGCTAATCAGTGTGGTTAGACGTCCGGTTGACTCTAGCTAGGATCGAAACCCGGCTGAATAGGCGTCAGTTGGATAATCTACCCCTAAAACGTAGGCGCACGGCATGGATGAAGGTGAATTTAAGTGTATTTATTTTTAGATAAACACGCCAATGACTGAGAGAACTCGATTCGTTTTATCGAAGAGTGTACATATATATATATATATATATATATATATATATATATATATATATATTATGAAATGGACTAATTATTTTAATATTTTTATTGTTATGCATCATTTATATACACACAAATATTTAAGTAAATGCTCTGTTTATAATAAACAATATTAACAACTTTTACCGGCCTGAATGTCCGTGAAATTTCATAGAAAATATGCGTCCTCTGAAAGAAATCGAAGCTGTATCCTACACCTAACCGTCATATAGCCTGACATGCTATACCAGTTTAGCTACGAAGGAAGTGTCTGGTTAGCAAAGTCGAATTATTGCTTTTAAATTACAAATTTTCCACGATTTCCCTCGAACATTCATATCTGCTCGAAGCGTATCTTATGCAAACTTATAAATAATATTTTATTGTTTTACGTTATAAATAACGTATAACAATATTTGTCATTTCTTTACGTTAAGATACACTTAAGATGTTATGTTAACTTGTGTTTGTGTGTGCGTTCTAGCAAACCTTGAAACAGTATTTTTAGCATATATATATATATATATATATATATATATATATATATATATATATATAACATTTTTATAAATGCTTTAAAAAATAGTGGCTATTAGTGCCCTGGCATTAAATATAGGAAACATAACAGTGTTAGTGGGGAAAAAAATAGAAATAAAAAAATCATTTGGTACACACCTCAATCTAATTGATAAAAACTACCCTAGTAATAATCCCTTTAGTAAGATTTTTTAATAAAAATACACTGAAATTATGCTATAGCTGTAGAGATAACATTGAAAAAAATATATAATATAATTATAATAAAATTTTAACTCAACATTTTGTTGCAGTTTTTTGTGTATATGTATTTACTAGTGAGCTAGCCTAAATGAGCTGACTCACTTAATAGTTCACCAATAGAAGGGTTAACCAATCAGAAAGCTCAAAATATTCAATGCGACGTGTATAAAGGCAGCCATTTTTCTCCCAAATTATCTGCACTGCCAACCTGATATCGAAGACTTAAAGAATTACTTAACAACCGCTACTTTCTCTGAATCTTCACTGCCGACCTCTGATATTGAACAGATTACGGACTTCATTGGATTCCATATTCAGAGACTGCGGAAAACATGGTCAACACACTTAAACTTAATTAACAATAGTCATCCCAAATCAACAAACAATAATTATACCAAACTCTGTAATTATAGAAATCCTAACGGCTGTCGACTACAAAATAAATGTCTGATTCAGTTGTTTACCTAAGTACTATTTCATCTAGAGAAAATCAAACAGATAAAATTTTTATATAAGTAGTACTAAATATTCTTTTAAAACTCGGTGGTATCCACACGTATCATCTTTCAACAACAATGTATATCGTAAAAGAACGTTCCTTTCTAAATATTTTTAGCACTTAAAAGAAGTTAACAAAATTCCTACAGTAAAAAGGAAAATATTAAAAATAACTAGAA